GTTGTTACCTCCTCAAAAACAAACCTGGAGTTGTGTTTTGTTTCACTCACCTTGCATTATTAGGCTGTCTGCACCCACAAAGCTCAAAATGCTCTGTTCCACTTTGTGACGGTAGTTTTCAAGTTAACAGCTGCCTTTTTACCTTTTGTTTAGTAGACATTGGAAATTCCAGGGCTGAAATCTTCCAAATGATTCTAGTGAAGGTGTATGGAGTTTAAAAACACAGTGGAGCACTTCCTGCATTACCACATGACATCAAAAGGTTGGACACAGTGTTTTCTGTTTGAGAGAAAAGCACAGCCCAAATCTACAGCATTTGTGTGTTAAATAGAGCTGGGTATCATTAAGAAGTTGCCGATACGATACATACCTCGATACATAGGCCATGATACAATACATATCTCGATACAGTGAGCTTTTGATTCGATACGATATATTTCAAGTCGATTCGATACGGTTCAATAAAAAATAATGTCTAAATCATGGCTGTGATACTAAAAGTCTTTGTTAAACCACTTCTTGTGCAAAGTTCATATGAAACACAAGCCACTAGCACCAGCCAATCAGCAAAGAGTCATATATTCAGTGTTGTCAATGATTCCCGAGATCGAGGATTTAAAGACAGAATAAAGAGAATGTTTGGTGAATTTCATCGAGGGGAAAGACTTTATTGTCCTTCTTCCTACGAGTTTGGGAAAAGCTTAATATACCGTCGAGCGAATGAAATCTAAGGCTGCGAGATCAGACGGTTTGTACGAAGTGAAACGAAGTAAAACCGGCTGATGAATCAGGCTAATAAAACACACCCATTTAATCAAATCAAAATCAAAACAGTGAAAATGTGAAATGTGTTGCATAAACAAGTTTCCTTTTGTCTGAACAAGCAACAAAACTGGAGCATTTTAACAAAATAATTTAGTAAAATATACCAAAAAATACTCTTGGTGATATATCAATACAGCAGTCCAAGATATCGATACTGTATCATCACATTAAATGATATGATATATCAGTATTTCAATATTTTTGACACCCCTAGTATTAAAAAAACTATGAATGAAACAAAACACAACTCCAGGTTCGTTTTTAAAGAGGAAACAACATTATAACATAGATCAGAAAATAACATGGTTTTCTAACGTGGAAGTAAGTGTGCTTGTTTCTTTTAGAATTTTTTTTTTTTTACTTAATGTTGCAATTTAAAGTGTGAAAATTCTAACATAAAACAACACAATACAAAACAATTGCATCAGGATAAGGTGGATGAATGTATTTCCGAATATTTTTGTCAACGCGACTTTTTGCAGGCGCCAGTGTTTGGATCTGGGCCATGTCCAGGGCCAAAGACATACTAATGACATGGACTCCAGCGGTGTGTTTTACCAGCTCAACTGCTCTCATTAGACGAGAACCTCCGTGTAGTGCCGCTCGTCTCATTAATGAAGCACATCTCTGCCTCCCGCTCCGGCGCATACACCGGGTCAGAGAGACGCCGTGTGTGTGGGCGGACTCGAGGCGATCCTATGTACACACCAAATATACATCCTACTCTGTCCTTCTCTAAAGTCCCTCTCCTTTTGCACTCCACACTCATGCATATATGCAGCCCTCTGATGAATAACTGTGGCGTGAATACAAAGTGCACCTGGCCTGCATGCATGTCGGCACGGTCCTACTAAGGCCTCATCTCCTCGGGTTTTAAAGATGTATGGATTCAACTTTGTGTGATCACTCCAGTTTCATTTATTTTTATTTAAATACTGTTTCGGTAACACTTTATAATAACTACACCTTATTTAGCCTTAATAAAACATGAACAAAGACTTAATTAATAATGTTTCACGCTTAGTAACTACTTAATTACTACCTGAATTAGCACTTAACTTGCACTAAATTCGCCTGTGCTGTAAATAGTAACTCAATACTTCTTAATTACTCATGAACTAACCATTTGCATGTTTACAAATGCATATTTAAGTACACATTTGAGCATTTATTAATGATTAGTAAGCTATGAGAGAATGATTTACTAATAATGCAATGCAATGATAATTCAGGCAGCTGTTATCTTTTAAGTGATTCTGAGAGCTTTTCTAAAGTGAAGACTAATTATGCTTTATTAAGTATTTGTAAAGGTTGGTCAAATTCCAGAGAAACAATAATGCATTACTAGTAAATCATTCTCTCATGGCTTACTAATTATTAATAAATGCTCAAATTTGGACTTAAGTATACGTTTACAAATGCACACACAAATGGTTAGTTCATGAGTAATTAAGTAAGAAATACTTATGAGTAACTATTTACAGCACAGGCGAATTAAGTGCAAGTGCTAATTCAGGTACTGATTACGTAGTTACTAAGCGTGAATCATTATTAATCAAGTCTTTGTTCATGCTTTATTAAGGCTAAATAAGGTGTAGTTATTATAAAGTGTTACCATTGTTTCTTATATTGTCACTCACCGTATCAGCTATAACCACACGCTCTGACAAAACTTTACAAAGACGAGTGGGTCTGGAATAGGGATCGGGACAATATTTGGACTTTTAAGTGTATTTGCTATCGGTTTTAAATCTCTAACACAAACCGGTATTTGGTTTTGATGTGCTACCTATAAAAAAACACACACAGCTTTATAGTAATACTTTAATGTGATGAGATAGCTGCACGAAACATGACTACACAGCTCTCTTGTAGGTTTGTGGTTAAAAAAAAATAGGACTTGGGGGAGTTTTTTGTCAATTTAAACGACATAATTTGAGGAAAATTATAAAAATTCAGGGCTCGACACTAAGCATTTACAGGTGCTTGCCCGACACCTAGATCTACTTGCCCATTAAAACAAAATGGTGCTCAATAATTTTTTTAATTCTCTTTTTGATATACATATGCACAGGCCTATAGAAACGTTTGGATTTGGAGAGAGTGGGGCATGTAGTATAAAATAAAATAAAAAATATCAGCAGAGTTTATTGATTCATCAGTTGCTCTTGTTTCTCAACAATCGGTATCAGCATCTGCTATTAAAAAACTCATATCGGTCGATCTCTAATCTGGAGTTGCATCCTGTTTCCCCAATTTCAGAGGGCGTGATTGACAGGCGGATTGACCAATCAGAGAGACACGTGGGTCATTCATATCAAAACAAATACGTCGGCTAGACTAACCTGTAAAAATAGGGGAAAAAAACAACACAGGTGACTGAGAAATAGTGAAAGAGTCATTGGTTAGTAACACACAATCAGAATTAGAACGTTTTTATCATTTCAGACAAGCAGTTTAACCAAAATTCACAGGAAACTAAAATAGATAACTGACCCAGAGCGCACCCTTGTTCTTGATAAGTTAAAAACTCCAGAAACCCAATGGAAAAAGACTCTCATAGTGAAGAAGAGATCTATCCATTTGCAGATAGTTCAAGTCTGTGGAGCCAAAGTGTGTGTGTGTGTGTGTATGTGTGTATGTGGCCCCTCCTGATCGTAGCTGCTCCATAATTAACAGTAATCAGATTTGTTTTGTGGCATAAACGGTGCATGTGTAGAACATTAGGCCTGGCAAGTCTCATTTCACATTCAGCTCAAGGGCTCGGCAGCAGAAGGGTCACGAGCTTCGGGGAGCACAATCACAAGGCTCTCTCCATATGCTACTGCCTGACGCATCCTCACCAGCAAAGACCGTCAGTGCCAGACAAGCTCCCACAAGAACCTAATCGCGTTCAGTAATTACCAAGAACGCCTTTTTCCTTTTTTTCCCCCTTCTCACAGCTTCCTCGCATCAGTTTTTTTCAGCTATTAGCACCTGCGTATACCCTCCTCAATTCCATCCTTATCTGCGCTAACTCGAGATACAATTTTTCCATTTTACCCACTTGATATGTTTATTTACTTTCTAGTTTCGCGCAGGATTAAAATCAGAGGTGAGACGAGAACTAGTATACGCTCCCTCATATCGCCTAATTTCTAAATTGCTTGATGCTGAAGAAGCCAGTCCATTCTCCTGACTGGCTGGAAATTATAAATAATTGTAACAGATGTGCCAATATGGCCGGCCTCCAATAAACGAGGCCCCAGATAATTTGACCAGCCCACTTTGACAGGCCAATTTAATAAAACATGAACAAAATCTTCCTCACTAATAATTTATCATCCCCTCTCCTCCCCTTTGGTTAAAGTTGATTACCCTGGCAGTTAACAAGGTCACGCCCAGATGCCAGGTTTCTGATAATGCAGAGAGGACTGGCTGGTTTAAAAAGGTGATGACATCCGTTGCGTTTTTACCTGGTCTGTTGGTGGAGATAAACAGTTGTGCAGGTCTCAGTTCGGCTGGATGTGTTGAAATGCTGATAATGTAAGCAGGTGAAGCTGAAGTTTTGTCTCGCGCTGTTTTTAAAATACTTTTTTAAAGAATCAAATAGTGTAAATATATGCACAAAAAGTTTTATGTGAAGTCTGGTAAAGTGGTGTGTTTTGAGTCTTAATAAAGGGTGGATGAAATCTATTTTACATAATTGTTATCAAAAATATTGATACTAATCGATACTGATACTAGTATCAAAACTGGATACTTCAACAAGAGTCAATACTGAAAATTTATTTTAACCTATCCTTGAAGGATCAGGATCCTTGAACACAACATGGTAATTTTAAAGAATCACTATTATATTGTATTGAAAGTTATTCTATTGAATGTTGTATTTTGATTGTGATATCGAGAATGGGCCTTATACACGTCTTTTACTTACAATTTAAATTTGGAGATTAGACTAGACACGACTGTTGTACTGACGCCTAAAATGATTTATTCTGAACATCATTCAAATGCTCACTTTATTTACCAGTTGGTAAAAGTGCTGCTTCAAGCAGGAAAAGAGTGTATCCCTGTGACGACCTGTAGTCTCTATTCAGAGAAAGGCAGGAGGGCTAACCACTCTGCCACTGTTCACCCTTAACATTTGTGTTCTGCTAATCCTGGTTGTTTCCTCTCTCCTCTCTCCACAGGCAGCTCTGTCTGAGTCGGCTCTGAGACGGAGCTCCAGCTCGGAGCAGGTGTCTGCTCACGAGTTTGACCCAGGAGCAGAGGAAAGGACCCTCAGACACCAGTCCAGCAGATCTGTCACAAGACACAAGGTAAGGCTCACTCCACACTTGGATCAAAACCGCCGACAGGATGTGAGGGCCAGTGGTGCGGAGTAACTCAGATTTATCAGTCCCTGTCTGGGCCAACCTTTGGCTGGAGTTTCCAACACACACACTATCAGTGTGCGCCCCTCCCACTGCGTGCGGGCGGCGTGGTGCTGCTGGTTTCACGCATGCCTTGGGCTCAGGCACTGGCTAATTTACTGCTTCAGCAGAACATTATGAACAAAACACAGACGTTTGATCGGCTCAGACTTCTCCCAGATGTGTGGCAGGACATGCTTCTCAGTGCCCTCACACACTCTTCACTCACATGTCATCTGTTCTAACAGACGGAGCAGAAGAAGACACTATTTTTTTAATATAATTAGCGCTATAATGTGCATGATATTTCACTCAATTTCGTACTGCTCAATTATCACAAGCATTCATTTTGTAAATAGAATGATCTTAACTCATTTGATTTGTAGTTTCTGGTCATAATTTCAGTGTCTTATCTATCTGCTAATCTGCTAATCACTGCTAGTGATTCATAATTAATAATAATAATTATACTTCATACTGATAATAAGGATGTCAGCTATAAACTTTGTGAGAAAATGGTGACCTTCATAACATGGACCTTTTTTTTCTATGAAACTCCCTGTTCACTTAGTTGTGAAAAAGCCTGTTTTGAATGCTTACATATCCACTGTATTTATGTCGTAGTTTGCTTATGTGGTCCAAAACAACATTCCCTTTCACTTATTCAACCTGAACAAGTTGAGCTTTGAGAGGCTCAAACGCACATGACACACGGCCACAGCCATAAAAGAGGCCCATTGATGACAGTGACCCTCTCTGGGCGATGGAGGGAGAGCAGAAGAGAAGATCTGCTCAAACGTCTCCTCTGTACTCCTCTGCCGGTGACACTGACCTCTGAGTAAATACGAGCTGTGCCTCTCCTCAGATACAGTCTGAGAGTCTGTGTGTTCTACCTCATCTGCACCCTGGTGTTTACGCAGCATTACGGGTCCATGTACAGGTCAGGTCATTAGCGAGGACCAACTGCATCTCCTTTTCCCATTGTGCTCTGTGCGCTTCCTCTGTCAGGCCGGGACACTAACAATGTCACAACATGTACACAAGCAGAAGGCGCCCATGTGTCTTTCTGACCAATGGGAGACAGGCGGCCAACTGGACCCGAGACAACATCTGCAGGACAGAGCCGTCATCTGTCACCGCCCCATTCTTCACTTTGTCCTTTCACAGCAACAAAATATAAATGCATATTTCCTCAAAAAAAGTTAACAAAGTGCATTTGTTTTAGTAAAAGGTATATATTTATTATTTAACAGAATATTCAATATCTATGAAAATATGTCTATATTTATTTGGATTATTTTGATTTTTAAGCAATCCTCTCAAAAAGTAAAAAAGCTTGAGATTGTTTGAAAGATTACACAACAATGTTTTATCTGCTTTTTTGCAGCAATTAGAATATTTTTATTGACTTGATAATATGCCAGTTTTGCATATTATCTTTAGGGCTAGACAATTAATTGCATTAATTTGTGTTTTTAATAATAGAGATTGACTGAGAAATTGCAAAGTTGTGAAATTGAGGATTATTATGAAACAAGTTTACTCCTGACTTTCTTACTTACAAAGCAGAGTTATTGTGCAATAAACACATACATTGTAAAAATATTTACATTGCATATCTATAAATGTTATTTAAGGCAGTTTACAAAATATAGGATAGGAAAAAAAAAATTATGATTTAAATTTCTTGACCATATCGTCCAGCCCTGATTATCTTCAAAGCAATGCACAGTCTGTAGCTAAACTATTACATAATCTGGACTGAAATATTAACATACAATTGATAATTAGATGCTGTAGTGTATTCCCACATGTTTCTCCTTTTTAAAATTCAAACGATGTCAGATTGGTCATATTTGTTTTCTGATGCCGTGGAATCCCCTTTGGCCTGGTACTTTTCCCCATGTACATGTGCTCTCGCCAAGTTGGCCTGCCACTCATCAGAAATATGCAGATCAATCTGCTAATTAGTGGCATATAGTCATTAAGGCTGAGCACCAGCACATGGTTGGCACCCACGTTCATATGAAAGCAGAAGGGGCACGCCGGGTCACGGGAGTCAACTGTGGCCCTCAGGCAAACGCTGTACAAAACTGATCAGGGTGGTGCTGATCAAGAGTACACGGACAAATACATGTGTCTATTAACAATCTAGACAAAACGTAGTAATTATTTTGACTGTCTGAGCAAATAGGTTACTTTTATGTTTTATAATGTATTGATCAAATAAAGTACATTTCAGGAGAAGGGCCGATAGTTACATGTAAAACTCTAAATAACTTTAACTATTTACTAACTTTAACATACCCAGAGTTGTGTTTTGTCAGTAGCACGTGTCACAATATGTACACACATCCCCTGCATATTTATTCTGAGAAAACACTCAATGTCTATGTTCCACTTTGTGATGTCACGTACGAATACAGGAAGTGCTCCACGGTGTTTTAAGACTCCATGTACTTTCACTTGAATAATTTTGATTACTTCAGATCTGGTGTTGCCAATCTCGGCTGAAATAAAAGGTAAAATGTAGCTGTAAACTTGAGACCTACAACTATATGACATCACAAGGTGGAACAGAGCGTTTTGAGCTCTGGAGATGTAGACAGACTAATCATAAAGTGTTACTGAAACGTGTGAATGAAACAAAACAAAACTCCGGGTATGTTTTTGATGAAGTAGCAGCATTATAACATGATTTAAAGCTCACGAGAGTTATTTTATATAAAATACTAAAATTAGTAAAAGAAAAATAGAAAATAAAAGGCACAACTACACAATTCTCACGTCAGGTTAAAAGCAAATGAACGCAGTGTCGCTCGGTAATACTGCATATGCGTCACCGCCAACATCGCAAAACTCTTTCTGATATGCAGCCTGTTTTTCTCTGATGAAGTCACTTAGCCAAAGATTAGAGTGATTAACTTTAACTAAGAGACACTATGTTTTAGGATTATGAGCTCATTCTGGTTAACATTCCCATAATAGGCCCCTCATTCCATCATCCGCTCCAGCCCAAGGACTGTTCTGCATTTAGTCACATTGCATATTTTAGCCTGCCATCTGGTCAGCTCTGCTCAGACACCGCAGGGGAGCGCCTTTCTTCCCATATTCATATTCCACTAGCATATTGTTCCCTCTTTTTCTCTCCAGCACTAAACCACTGCCCTGTTTATTTATTTATTTACTTTACACCGAGGAGGAAAAGCTAGCAAACTGCAACTCCCCCTCCTACTCCGGCGCTCTTTCAGTTGTCCTATCAAGTGTAACCTGGAGGCCCCTAGTAGAGCAATTAGAGCGGCCTCCCTGCCCACCTCTTGTAATGAAGCCCAGCACATTGTGGAATCTATAGCCCCTTTAGTCTCCCCTAATGGGACATCATTATTGTCAAAGAAACAATGTAAATGGAAATGAACATACTCATTAGCCAGTCGTAGGGAGAAACCTTTGGCGCTCTCAGCTTGCAGCACACATGCACGCACACACAGGCTTACCCCCTTCAGGTCGTAGCCAGCACCGCTCTAGTTGCTTTATTCCTCCGGTAGTGTGTTTGTTTGTGCGTTTCACCAGACGCCGTGTGTGCTGTGCTCAAGGTGAGGAGGGGAATGGAATGAGCGCAGATAATTCCACTATTGGCATTCGCTCAGTGTTTCTACAGATGTTAATTGTTGCATGGGCTGGTGCCCGGGTGTAATTGAAGTGTGCTCAAGTTCTCAACGTCTACTTCGTTGCTTACCTGTGTGCAGCGTTCCCGCTCACTGTCCCCAGGAGGCAGCGTGGAGCTGAGAGGAGCCAGAAGAGAAGATCCAGAGGAGAGGATCCAGGCTCTGGAGGAGCTGCTGCAGCTAAAGGTACATGCTTCATACACTATGGCACATACTGTATGTATTATTCTCTTATACATGAACCACAGTTTACTACTCATCTCTTCATGAATTTTGTTTTTTGTTGCAATAGTTCATCAGAGTGGTTCATTGGAACTATTTGCTCATTGTGAGAAGGTCCTGGGTTTGCCCCTCACCCCAAGTCATGATCAGGAGAGGTGCACTGCTCCCTACTGACTGCCCCAATCACCTAAACCTCCTGTCCTGAGGTCCTGTTATATGTCAGTCGTACTGACATCAATTCTTTATTCATTTTAGCTTTTTGGTTAAAATGAATAAAGAATTTACACCCAAACTAGAGAATTAATAATGTTTAACATTGAGCTCTAACCCCCACAATGTTTGGCTGTCTGCAGCTATGAAAAACAAATAAAATACTTTTAAAGGAGCAGTACAAATTTTTTCATGTAATAAATTAAAATCTGTTTTGCTCCAGTACTGTAAAAGCAGCTTTTAGCATCAAAATGAAACCCCTGTGTTTGGTCTGCATCTGATTATAAGCATTTTTATCTTCCACAAAGTTGCACTGTTACATGTCAATAGCATTTCAGTCAAAACTCCACTCTGGGCTCTGAAAGTTATGAAAATAGCTTATAAACTCGCCACTGCCAACAATTACGGGATATTACAACAATATTAGATTTCAGATATAACCCAACGTGTAGAAAAACTACTTATTAAAGTCTTCCTGACAGTTCTGCATTTTGAAGTGTAGCTCTGACTCATATTTACACATGTACGTGATATGTGTCATTGCTGCTGGCCCCTGGAAGGTCCACTCTCTGATAACAGTCACTCTCTCCAAACGTTCAGTTGTTCTGCTGCTGACACGGCCTCAGCGTGACCTTCCTTTAACAATGCGGAGAACACACACACAGAACACACACACACCTACAGCCTCTGCCCTGCGTGCGTGGGCTGTGGACTGAGCGCACTGGTCAGGTGGATACACTGGGATTTCTGACTGTCTTTATTGGTCATTTAACCTTCAAAACCCTCCCCGCTTTTCTACAATTATTCTTTACATCCTGTGCAGAGATTAAACAGTTAATTCCTTCTTCCGTTTTTTTGTTTAGTTTTTTTTTTTCCAATTTCAGCCCTCACCCTTGTCTTTCAGGCCACTCTGGTGAATATGTGATTATGCAGAGGTCATCTCCCTTTTGAACACAACCCCGGGAACACTTTGGGTGCCATTTTCTTGTCAGATTTGAAGTGTCTGAATTACATCATTGGCAGACCCCTTCTTAGCTTCTAATGCCCGTCAAAGACTCAAAGGACACGCTTGGCTGTGTTAGTTAATGGTGCCATTTACGTGTCTGCTGGTCAGGTACACACAGAACAACCGCCTGACAATGTACTATTCAATCTATGGCTGTATTTAATAAGGGCAATAAGCCGGAGACATCATTTGGTCGTCATCTTCTTTTCTATTATATGATTTAAAGAAACATGGCCTCGATTAGCAACAGTTAAGACCTCAGACCCCAGTACGTAAAAAATAAAGATTAAAAGTGCATTCTATAACTTTTCTGGTTAAGGGTCCATCAAATGCTTTGTTTTCCATGGAGATGTTATTGCTTTGCCTGGAATTTTTCACAGTATTAAACCTTTCTGTCTTCATGGAGACCAAACTAGACCAAGTTACAGGTCAGATCTGTGGAGAGGTGACCCCGCTCACAGTCAGAGTGTCTGTTTTATGAGGTATTTTTGAGCTATAAAACCACCTGTATTAGAATAAATATAAAGTAGAGCTGTTTTGGGCACAGTAGTGACATATCCATAGAAACAAGCACTTTACACACCCCCAACCAAAAAAGTTACATAGTTCACCTTTAAGATATAATAATTGTGTGTCTACAACATGCTTTCGTGTCTATAACATCTGTTTCGTCATGTTTTCAAGGTCTTTTACACAAAATTGTCTCTGGTAAGTGTTAAAACCGGTAGATAGAGACATGAACATCCAACAAAAATGGTGGAAAAACAAAAACTGTGCAAAAAAAGAAAGAGATCCACACTCTAGTTCTTTAAAGTTCCCAAATTGTTATCTCAATGACACCATAATGTGCGGATCTCTTTCTTCTTCTGCACAGTTCTTGTAGCTTTAAGCCATGTTAGAATGTTATTATCATATTTTTCGGACTATAAGGCGCACCGGATTATAAGGCGCAATATCAGTAATATTGAATTCTCTCATCTATTTGCACTGGATTATAAGGAGCATTAAGCGAAACAAACAGACACTTGAGACTGATCCCTTAGCCCGGGCGTCCACAATCCATTGGCAGATCGTGGCGTAATTCGCCTGGCGTTGCCTCCCTGTTTTGGTGAATGTGGATTATGAATGTGAATGTGGATGGATCATTTAAGTTTTGATTTTTATTTTCTACGAGGACGACTTAAATATACATTCAGTAATAATGTGTTTAATGCAACTTTGTGCACATTTGTTTACATTTCACAGAAACAAAATTTAAAACCACATGGCTCATTTGCATAAACTATAAGCGCTGAAAAAAACAGCTCACTCCTTGTGAGCTGATGTGGTCAGATTCTGTCGGACTCTGCGAGGCTCCTGACTCCAGTAGTCAACAGTGCTCCAACAATCCATCACGTGGTGCAGCTTCATAACTTACCAAAGTGGAGCTATATTTTGACAGATTTTTGTGCACCGTGTATCACATAAAATCGGTTCGAGGTCAGTAAGCACGTCCAAAAGTAATACATTAGACGCACTGTTGATTATTGAGAAAATTGAGTTATTTTAATTGCGCCTTATTGTGCCTCCTTAAAAACACAAAATCCCACATGATTGAATAATCCTGCATTAATAGTTTGTCTACATCTCTTAAAATCAGAATGCTCTGTTCCACCTTGTGATGTCATGAAGCGGTAGTTTTCAAGTTAACAGCTACATGTTACCTTCAGTTCAAATGAGACGGGTGATTCCAGAGCTGAAATCACCTAAACGATTCTACTGAAGGTGTATGGAGTTTAAAAACACAGTGGAGCACTTCCTGCATTACCACATACTGTTTGAGAGAAGAACACAGCCTAAACATACAGATTTTGTGAGTTAAATGTGTGTGAATGAAGCGAAACACAACTCCAGGTTTGTTTCGGATGAGGTAACAACATTATAACAAAGATCAGAAAATACTACAGCGCTCTTAAAAATATACTTTTCATTCAAAGGTGAAAATTGTTCGTCTGTGTTCTGTTTTGGCCAAGATGTTTTTACGACAACTCCTCTTTATCCACTCCTTCCCATTATATAGAGCATTGTTCAAACTGGATGTACAGCTCTTAAACAATTGACATATTGACCCTAACTGCAGCAGACAGTTGCCTCTTTAGCTTAGCTTTCTGTGTTGTTTTTTCCCCTCACTCTTCACGTAAACATTCACTGTTGCTGTGTAATTATTTTTCAGCTTGAAAACCTCCACAGATGTGTACGCGGGCCGGGGAAGGGGGCATATTGATCGGCGGGCAGGGGTCTGTGGCCTGATGACCAGAGCGAAGCAACCTCAGGGGGGGAACGCTATAAGGAAGCCTGGGAATCCATGATGTAGCTAATGCCCTGCCACTAGCGCACCCCTCCTTCTGCCCGTCTCTCCGCCTCTCCCTTAGCTCCCTCGTTCAGCGAAGCCGCGCTCTGGTCCTTGTCATTAAAGTGTTGTTTTTGAGAGGTGCGTGAAGGGGCTCAGGATGCCTCGCAGATGTCCTCTGTGGATCAACCGCACAGGGGGGGGAAATCCATACTTGTCACACTGGCAGCTGTACGTGAGAGCGTGTCGGCCTCTTTCTCTTTCTCTCTCTCTGTCTTTCTCTCTCTCGCTCTCTGCCCCTCTGTGTGTGTGTCTCTCTTTCTCTCTCTGTCTCTCTTTCTGTCTCTGTCTGTGTCTCTGTCCATCGCTCTTTCTCTCTGTCTCTGTCTTTCTCTCTGTTTGTCTCTCTGTCTTTCTGTCTCTCTCTCTCTGTCTCCCTGCCTCTCTTTGTGTCTCTCTCTCTTTCTCTCTTTCACTCAGTTTGTCTCTCTTTCTCTCTGTCTCCCTGCATATCTCTCTCTCTCTCTCTCTCTCTCTGTTTCTCGATTTCTCTTTGTCTCTCTCTTTTTCTCTGTTTGTCTCTCTCTCTGTCTCTCTGTGTCTCTCATACTCTCTGTCTGTCTCTCTCTCCCTCTGTTTCTCCCTCTTTCTCTCTCTCGCTCCCTGTTTCTGTCTCTTTCTGTTTCTCTTTCCTTGTCACTCTTCTCTCTGTCTCTCTCTGTCTCCCTGCATCTCTCTCTCTCTCTCTGTCTCTCTCTGTGTTTCTCGATTTCTCTTTGTCTCTCTTTTTCTGTTTGTCTCTCTCTCTCTCTTCTGTGTTTCTCTGTCTTTCTCCCTCTCTCCCTCTTTCTTTCTCTCTCTGTGTCTACCTGTCCCTCCCTTTCTGTCTCTTTCTCTGTCTTCTCTCTCTGTTTCTATATCTCTGTCACTCTTTCTCTCTGTCTCTCTCTCCCTCTTTCCCTTTCTCACTCCCCATTTCTTTGCGTGTGTTTTTCTGTCTCGCTCTATCTTCCTCTCTCTCTCTCTCTCTCTCTCTTCTCTTTCTCTCTCTCTGTTTCTCTCTGTCATTCTTTCTCTCTGTCTCTTTCTGTTCAACTCTCTCTCGCTGTCTCTGTCTCTCTCTGCCTCTCCCTTTCTCCCTCTTTCTGCCTCTCTCTCTGTTTGTCTGTCACTTTTTTTCTTTCTCTCACTGTCGCGCTCTCTCGTTCGCTGTCTAAGTCTGTCTCTATCTGTCTCTCTCTTTCTCTCTCTGTCCCTCTCTCTTTATCTACCTGCCTGTCTCTCTCTGTTTCTCTCTCTCCCTCTTTCTTTCTCTCCATGTTTCTCTGTATGTGTCTCTCTCTTGCTCTCTCTCTTTGTCTCCTTGTCTCTTTCTCTGTCTCTCTGCCTCTCTCTCTCTGTCTCTTTCTCTTTTGTCTCTCTCTTTCTCTCTGTCTCTCTTTCTCTGTCACTCTGTCTCTCTCTTTGTCTCTCCCTCTTTCTCTTTCTCACTCCCTGCCTCTCTCTCGCTGTCTCTTTCTGTCTCTCTCTTTCTCACTCTCTGTCTCTCTTGCGCTGTTGCTCTTTCTTTTTCTCTCTCTCTCTCTGTGCCTCTTTCTCTGTCTCTCCCTCTTTCTTTCTCTGTCACTCCTTGTCTCTCTCTCTCTCTCTCTCTCTCTCTCTCTCTCTCTGTGTCTCTCTCTTCCTCTGGCTTTCTCCTTCTTTCTCTCTGTCTCTCTTTCTCTCTCTCTCTCTCTGTTCCTGTCTCTTTCTCTGTGTCTGAACTGAAGTGTGTGTGTCCAGTGCGTGTCTGTGTCTGTGTGCTGTCTCTGTTCTCTTTGTCCTTGTTAATAATAACAGGGCTGAGGGCTCACATTTCCCTCTCTGCAGGGCAGCCGTGTCATATCAGCAGTAAACAAGCTCCTTCCCTTCAGAACGCTCTCGACAACTCTCCCCAGCCCTGGCCACTCAAGCAGAAACCTGTCCTGCACTCTTCCTCCTCCTCAACCGCCTCTCCGTCTTCGTAATTCCTTTTTTCTCTCTTTCCTCCGCACATTTTCAACCTCCTTTTCTCTTTATTTCACCTTTGTTTGTCCTGTGTGTTGAAACGCTTTTGCGCATCACCCTCTCCGTTAAGGTCAGCGTGATGGGGAGGAGCGGAGCTGTGCCCCTGACAAGCAAAAAATCCATACGTTGTCTTCTCGCGCTTTGAAGCCGCGTGCCCAATCTTTGCCGTGTTTTTTAATAGCTGTCAACAACATTGTCAGCAACAAAGCGCGTCCGGTCGTCAGCTCGGTAACTCCAGTAAGTGGGTTCAAGGATGCGAACGTGTCTCGTGTGTCTGTCTGTTTGATGGTTTGGGTCCTTTCTCCGCTCGCCATCTAAATATCAGACTTTAATGATGTTTCTCACTTGTCAAGAGGGAGGAGAAGAGACGGCCGCGTGGAGTTGGTGTGGACTTTTGTCAGGCTCAGGTGCGCTAACAGTGTGCCAAATTAAAAAACTGAAAAAAAAGCAGAAAGGACCTAAGCAAACTAGACAACTTTTTTTTACCCTTTGCTTTGTTTGCTTGTTAAAGTGCCAATACTAGACTATTTTCTGATCTATGTTATAATGTTGTTTCCTCATCACAAACACACCTGGAGTTGTGTTTTGTTTCATTCACATGTTTAATACACATATTGTTTTAGCTTTTCTGTCAGGAAAAATATGATCTCACCATTAATTCTTCCCATTTTAGATGACTGTGATCTCATTTATCAAAATACCACAACTTCTTCTATCCTCCAAACACTCAATTATCACTCTATAACAGTCTAGGTTTATTCAGTGCAGGTTTATTCTCCACTGTCCCTTCAGAACTCACCATTATCCTGCTCACTCTGTCCTCCTGACGTCAACTTCACTGGTTATTATTTATCTTTAAATGCATTCATCTCAGTTATCCTGAATATCTCAAACAGTATTATATGGAGTATAAGACGTACCAGCCAAAAAATGCGTAATGAAGAAGAAAAAAACATGTATAAGTCGCACTTTTTGGGGTAAATTTATTTAATAAAATCAGAGACCAGGATCCAACATTTCATCTTGAAAGGCAAGTTCTAGTAATAACAATGGAACAGAGAACAACAGACTGTTAACGTCACATATGAACAGTTCTTCAGATAACTAAAGCAAAAACAACAGAACAGAAGAAGTTTACAAACTCTGCATCTCATTACAAATCACTAAATCCATTGAATTCTTTATCCTCGGTGTCACTTCTGAGCAACTTCACAACCTCTGGAGGTAAACAGAGCGCCGCTTCCTCTTCTGTGTAGCTGTTATCAGACTCAGCATCAGTTCTAATTAGAATTATTCCGGTCTTTCTGAATCCCGACAGGATGGTTTCGGTGTCACTGAAGTCCAGGCTTTGTCCATCCATTCACTGACTTCCAGGAAAGTTGCATGATTCACCCTCCCGGTTGCCGTGAAGCTGTGTTCTCCATCCCCGCTTTCCGCCAAGCCCTCACAAGTTTCTCACTCACTCCAAACTGTCTTTCTGCTGTTCGATTACCGTTTTCGGTGGCATATGTCACTACTGGCAGCAGGACAGAGGCCTTTTCTGCAGGAGACATGCGCAGTAGAGTGAAGTGACAGTGGTACAGGAGTAATAGGAGTAGCAGATACAGAGACACAAGCCCACAGCGCCCTCTCGAGGCTGTCAGTGTGAACATTTTAATATATAAGTCGCAAGTCTGATCTGATCTGATTACTGTGGTTATCTGATTTTTACTAACTATGTGAATGTCCCCTTACAGACTGAAGAGAATGAGGAGTTGAGGAAGGCCCACGAGAACCGCCGTGAACGTCTGCGCCTCATTCAGAGCAACTACAGGACGATAAGAGACCAGCTGAAAGACCTGGAGAAGGCCAGTGGCATGTGAGTACTGTAAACAATAGTGTTATACAATGACTCGCATAAACTATAGGGGAGGTTAAGCCGCGATTTCCGCCAATTGTCGCTAAAGGTTTGACCAGATGTGGGACTGATTGAAAGTTTGTTAGGAGCTCCGTTTTAATGATTTGAATCTCAGACCGAACGTGCAAATCAAAATGTGTTTCCAGCATCAGGTCAGTCTGCGTCCTGTGCTGTGTGAACCATGTTTATTTTTACAGGTATAACTACATCTATTTTCTGTCTGACTGGACTTCTCATGTTCTTTAAAATGCACTACCAGATGCTCTCGTCTAGACCGGGCATAAAAGAATAAAAGTTCATTACTGCACCACTTGGCACTAAAGATAAAGAGAAGCTGAAATAGAGTCTGTTTTTGAATTTAAAATGTTTTTAATTGAAGCTTTTAACATCAAACTTCTAAGAGACGCAACAAAGGGCACTGGATTTTGCATACATTTAAAAAAAAAATTTTGAGTCCTAAAAAAATGTTACCTGTATTAAAAGTATTAAAACAGCAATATAACGCTGTATATTCTTGGTAATACACATAAATTCTAGATGCTGTAGTGTTAACCTCTAAAACCAGATAAATTCCTTATAAATTTCTGAGTTATTACATTTACAGTAACTACCTGCTTACTGCTGCTTTAAGTCTGAATCTGAAAATCTGACTTATTCATAACACAATTTTATTCTGGCATTAAGGGCATGCTGTACATAAAATTCAATGCATTTTGCTGCATAATAAAAAAACATACATTTAGTAAACTTTTTAGAATAGAATTTTGAATGTTTTCTCATAATGAAGTTATAATAATACATTTTATTTATTAGGCACCTTTCTGGACACTCTAGGTCGTGTTACAACAACATAAACAAGTTAAATACTATTAAAACATACAGATAAATGCATACAGTTAAAGTGGGACTGTATTTTAATTGATTGATTGTATTTAATTTAATTTAATTTAATTTAATTGACCTCTATTACTGTCAGTTATTCTTCTATGGGGTATTAACTGCTAAACACGCAACATATTTATATCACCATATCACTTGTTATTGTTTTGAAAATGCTGCATTCACTGAAAACAACATATTAACATATATTTATAAGTTTCGCTTTTGCTTTTGATGCTCTTCTTAGTCTTAGGGCTTGTTTACACGAGAACGCTTGTGGATAAAAATGACAAAATATTTTATCGGAAGTACCTTTCGTTTAGACGGTGATGGCGTTTTTGGGGCTTAAAAATGCAAAAATCTGAAACCACCCTAAAGAGTGGAAAAGTTGGATATGCTCCGCCGTAGCGTTTCCGTCTACACTGCCCAAGACGCAAAACTCTGGTCAGATCTGCTCACGTCAGGTACGCGTTTACGTCACATATATCACCACCGATTCGCCTGGCATGCAAACCCAATCGAATTCCACACACATTTGCGTCACCGTATGCACGCAGATTTCCTCCTGAAAACGCTCGTCTAAACGCGGAATAAAAAGTGAAGACGCGACTCCACTTTTGCGTCTTCTATTCAGACCGTCATCATATAAACGTAGCCTTACCCCCCTTTGCTCTCGGCATTAAATCGCTCCCCCTTCAGAGCTCTTTTTTACAGCACATCACATCAGGTTTGTCAAGTTGCTGTGTACAGTTTTACATCATGTTTTTCTATATTTATGGTTGATGTAGGCTTGTGGGACAGAATCTCACAGCTATTCGTAAAGGGGAGAGGCCTGGAGAGATCGCTAAATTACTCAAACAGGCATGGATCGCATCTAAAACCTCTTCAGGCTTCAGGTTTTTGATGAGAGAACAGTGTTATAACATGGTAGAAAGCTCCAAAAAGTCAAGTTTGCGTAATACCCTCCCCTTTAAAGGAAAAAAAATCTGACAAAACCCCTACATACTCCACGATCCGTCCAGTTTACCACCTCTGCTCTGAGCACAGCCACTATCCATCGTCGTGCTGTTAATCTTACTCCCCTGCCCACGACTATATTTAACACCAATAACCCCACACCGAACGCCAATGGCCTTTATTAAATTTGCGAGTGTCATCTTTGTCGTGCCTTGCAGTTTTGATAATCTACTTTATTATATAATCAAAACAGGTAATAAAATCCCCTCTTTACAAGACCTGTGCACATACTTAGACGTGCCTTTTATGAATCGCTGGAGAAGAATACATACGAAGTAACTCTCGCTCCGATCCTTGACTGTAGGGAGTGAAAATAACTCAACTTTGCCTTATGTTAAAAGCCTGTGAAACTATATCTCCCCTGAAACGGCTCACAAAACAGTCTGAGGGTCTTACTCGTCTCCCGTGTTGTCTTGACAGGAGCCGAGCGCTGGATTTGGGTAAGTGGTTGGAATTTTACTCCCTTTGAAAGAGCTCAGAGGTTTTAAGACCAGTCAATTTGGGCCATTTTTGTGCGTCTGCGGCGTCTTCTCCGCCCACCGCGTTCATTAGGATGTGGGAGCCGAAGATAGGAGGTGTCTGCTCCTGAGGGGAGAGAGAGAGGGAGGGAAGGAGGGAGGGGGGTGTTTGAGAAGGCATGTGGAGGAGAGAGAGAGAGAGGAGGAAGAGGAGCACGAGGAGGAGGAGGTGGGGGTGAGTGAGGCGAAGGCCATTTCCTGCTTCAACCTGTTATCTTCAGCAGAAACCACAGGACGCTTGATCCACAGCGAGAAACGTGTGGATTCTGTCATAGCGATCACAAGTGTGTAGAGATCGTCATCTTTTCCCCCCATTAGCTTTTCGTTACTTCTGTTACACTATTAATGATTTAGCAGCGGACTGTGTCATCATCTTCTCAGTCAAGCTTCTGAAGGGCAGACTATTTGTGATTTGGAGTTATGCAAATTATAATATTGACCATACAAAAAACTATTAATACGAGCCTAAAAATAAAATGACCTTCTTTTTAAATCCACATTTGTGTAATTCTCAGACCCCGTTTGCACTGAAACAAATCTGTGTATCACCGTATCACTGTATCGGAAACGATCTGCGTCCAGACACGCCGTTTCTGTGTCCGCAAGCCTTCCCTGCCCACACAGTTTTGAGCATATTTGTTTATGTTTTACAGAAACCAAACTTAAAACTGCATGGCTCATTTGCATAAACTAAGCACTCAAAAAGTAACTTGCTATTGTGCGCTGATGCTGTTCAGCTTCTGTTGGACTAAAGGACACGACTCAGTGGATTATGAGTGTCCTTTCTGTGACAGAGGGGTGTTCTGCAGATGGTGAGTCTGTTCTGTGCTTCTATCACGTTGGAGATGGTTCATGTTAAACTTTTCAGAGATTATACGTCTGCAGGTCATACACACAGACCGTATATATGAATATATTCTAGCCTCTTTGCGTTTTGACGGTGAATTACTTCGCGGTGCATAGACCTACATCAGCGTATCAACGTTTTCCGGCGTCCACACGTTGCCAAATCAGATCCATACTCAGATGAATTCATGGGAGCTGGCGGCACCAGATCGTTCTGTCTCTGGAGCCGATGAACTGACTCAATGCAAAAAAGCTTTCAGAGGCAATAAAAGCAGACGGCCCGAACTTGAAAACATTCTTGAAGACATGGACACCTGCGTCTTATCGACAGGTGTGGCCTATATGTGTAAAAAAAATGTGGCGTATTTTCAGGTGCGCTCAATAGTCTGGAAATTACGGTAGTAGTTTAATGCTACTGACACCGTAATAACCCAAGAGCAGATTTAAACCACAAAAACTCTTCTAAATCTTCAATATTCATCATAAAAATCATGAGCTGTAATAAAAAAACAGCAGATGAAACACTAGTACTTTTGTCTCTGTAATGAATCATAGAAGTCCATCCCTTTTAGATCAGATCTTATCATGATATTAAATTATATTGTCCGATCCATCATATATTGAAAGATATAATAATTATCGTGTCAGGCCTAGTTCACTCTCTGCTTTGTGCTTTTGTCGTAGCTCTCTAATCCTGTGAGTGAATCAGAGTGATCTGTTTCAATGAGCATGACTTTTGGGAAACAGTAGACACAAATATAGGCCCTGTTTTGATTTGAGTTACTGCATCCACACTCCTCCACGATAATATTTCATTAAAAGCTCCCCACATCTTTCAGTTTATCTTTCCTACCACAATGACCAATGAAACATAACCTCAAACCTTAGCTGCTTTAAACTACACCCTTCCCCTTTAAGGCCATTTTAAACCGTGTAACTTAAAGGTGAGTGCTCGGTGGCCACGCGGGAGCCAGCTTTGACCCTGTCAGATGTTTTCTCTTTGGGTTAATTAAAGAAAACAGCGGCGCAACATGAGCCCGTGTGAAGCGCTGGAAGTGAGGGAGCATGTGCGGCGGCGGGCTCCTCTCCGCTCCTGACAGCTCCGCTCGGCTCAGCAGCTTGCGTCTGAGGCGAAGGGAACAAAGAGTCAACACCCGCCTGTACCACCACCACCACCACCCGCCCGCCACCTGTACCGCCCGCCGCCAATACCGCTCGCCGCCTCTACCGCCGCCGCTGTGTTCCTAGCAGCTTTTATCAGGAAGTCTGGGGAAGTTGTCAAGTGGTGGATCATAACCCTATAGCACCACTTAACAGCAAACCCGTCGTTCTCCCACAGCACCAGCACAACCTTGTACTGTTTTATTTACGGAGTGTCTTCTTTTGCTACTGTTCAAACGCAATCTCCAAGCTCATTTTACTTTTTCAGCGAAAGTATTTGTATTTTATGAATGCACAAGTGGATTTTGGAGGTTATTTTGTTATTTATTTTTTATTAGGGCGTTCAGTTGATAGATTATATTTGTCCACCGATCCTTAGGTTGGCAGTTTGAATCCCGCTCTTGACATAAACATTGGTTAAGTGATCAGATTCGCTGACCCACAGGTTGGCAGTGTGATTCCAGTTCCCCAGATGAATGCTGTGTGTGTGTGTGTGAATGGGTGAGTGATTGGTGAAAAAACACTATATAAGAATTTTAC